TCCCCGTTTTGTTCTTCAGATATTGAGCCACCAAGGTTCACGTCTTGTCCAAGCAGCTTTTCAGTGGAGGCAGGCAGTAGACAAACACGTGCCGTGGTGAGCTGGGAGGCACCAACAGCAACCGACAATGTGCCGTACAGTCGGAGGATATTTCAAACCCAGGGGTCACCCCCTGGAAGTCACTTTAGCCAGGGATCCCATACAATCACCTACGAGGCACGAGATGGCCAGGGTAACACAGCAGAGTGCACCTTCACCGTGACAGTACGGGGTGAGTTTCGGAAAGGAGAATTTGTTTGTCTGTAGAGGAAATTTAGCAAATGCAATAATATACTGCGATGATTTTATTATTTTTTTTGCAGACCAAGTGACACCTTTTCGTTTGTCGTGTCTCTTGCGTCTGCCCAGCCCTCCCGTCCCTACTGTACGGACCTAGTCATTGATCAGTTTATCAATGAGTCATCAGTAAGTCAGTCAGTAACTCATTCTGTCAGACAGTGACTCAGTCCGGTGAACAGGAAAGTTAGTCAATCAGTCAGTCAGTAACTTCTTCAGTCGGTGATTCAGTCATTCAGTCAGCGACCAAGTCAGTCAGTCAATACCTTTCAGTGACTCACCCAGTCAGTGTCTCAATCATTTAGTCAGTGACCTACTCAGTTTTTGACTCGGGGAGTTTCTCAGTCATTTACTCATTCAGTCACTCGGTCAATTAGACTCATCAGTTACAACAATTAGTTAGTCAGTCATTCATTCGGGGAGTCGGTCAGTCAGTCAGTGGCCCAATGGATCAGTCAGAGACTCAGTTCTCAGTCAGTCGTCAGTCAGTGACTAAGTTAGGCATTCAGTGACTCAGTTAGGCAGTCAGAGACTCAGTCAGGCAGTCAGTGATTTAGGCAATCTTTTACTCAGTCATATGTTCAGTGACTTGGTCATGCGGTTTGTGACTCAGTCAGGAGGTCGGTGACTCTTTCATGTGGTCAGTCACGCAGTAAGGATGTCAGTGACTCAGTCAGAAGGTTAGTGACTCAGGCATGTAGTCAGTGAGTGACTCAGTCAAGCAGTCCGTGACTCAGTCAAGAGGTTAGTGACTCAGTCAGGCAGTCAGTGGCTCGGGGAGGAGGGGAGTGACTCGGTCAGATAGTCAGTGACACAATCAGGCAGTCAGTGACACAATCAGGTGGTCAGTGACTCAGTCAGGAGGTCAGTGATTCAGTCGTGCAGTCGATGACTCAGTCAGGCAGGCAGTGACTCAGTCAAGAGATTCGTGACTCAATCAGGCAGCCAGTAACTCAGTCAGGATGTCAGTGACTCAGTCATGCAGTCAGTGACTCAGTTAGCGGTCAGTGACTTAAGCAGTCATTGAGTCAGTCATATGGTGAGTGACTCAAACATGCGGTCTGTGACTTAGACAGGAGGTCATTGACTCATGTACGTGTCAGTGACTCATGTATGTGTCAGTGACTCAGGAGTTTTGTGACTCGGTCAGGAGGTTAGGGACTCAGTCAGGCAGTCGGTGACTCAGTCAGACAGTCAGTACACTCAGGAGGTTAGTGACCCAGTCAGGAGGTCAGTGCCTCAGTCAGGAGGTCAATGACATAGACATGCAGTCAGTGACTCAAGCAGTCAATGAGTCTTTTCTATACCACAAAGTCGGTCCTACATGGATAATTGCAGCGTATGGCGCAATACATGTACATGCAATAATATAACGAATAAAACAACTCAGTGGAAGGAGTCACTAATGTAGTTTAGTGGATACTTCGTGAACTGTCATTGCTTTTGTGTTCATTCATTATTTCTTTAATTCGTTCCCTTTAATATTTTTTTTGGTTTTATTGTAGGGCATTTTTCTTTTGTAGTTTGGAAATGTGGTTTGGAGAATTTAAACAAGTATCGATAAGTGTATCGTTTCAATTGTGCATAATAGTGGTAAAGAGCTGGCAATTTTTCGTGTAAACGGAGGGACACAGTTTTCAAAGTAGGAGACCTAAAATTCGAAATAATCTTGGAAGATAAGAAGGGTTTAATAAAACAAAAATCACGTATTGTAAGGTTGTGCGTTTACATAATTTTCATGGATGTGACCTTATATCATTAGAGTGGTCTCGTTTTGGAATATACAGAGGTGAAGGATAACTAAGGTGACGAAAATGTGTAGGTACACGTTGACCTTTGCGCTATTGTGCCCTACTGGTTGCCAATTCCAATATTATGACCCAAATTTAACGCGGACAGTCCTACTAGAAATATTAAAGCCATTGACGACTTTGGGTATTCTGAATATTGATGACAGTAGTAACTGTATTTTGAATATTGCTAACAGAAATAATTCAACGCAATCGACACAATTTTAATTAAATGGGTTATTTAATCTTTGCCAATAAGAGCAAGAGTAAATATATCGACACTATCATCGCTGTATCATATACCGGTTGATATTTACTAAAAATATAAATCAAGCGATTAGCAAAAGGTAATCGGTTAAACAAAAAAGCCTATACAAATGTACTGTTAGCGCTGGCAGAGGAAAAATCACAGAACAACCTAAGAATTTGACAATTAAAACCACAACGGCCTAACTTATTTCTTTAGATACTTCTTACTGTTCAATCGAATTCAATGCAAATCATAACTGTGGTTTCATGTATGACCCATCTCCTTTTACTGATATTATTTTTATTAATACAAATACTGATTAATAGCCCTAACAGTCCTAAATCCTCCGATTTCAATACGATTTTGCGTACCCCAAGGGAGTTAGGGTTTGCCCTTCGGTGCCTAGAAATGTTAGTATGGACGGTTACACGAAATAGTGATAACAACGGCGATGATGCCGTTGATGACGTAAACTTGATGACAAGTCGTTAGATAGTCGTATTTTGTGTGTGTACTTCAGTCGATCTACATCGGTGCGGCTGGTATAAGACCAGTCTTTATTATACAGCTCTATGGTTGCGACACAGATATGTAAAGACTTGACCGGTACGTTCTCCGAACGATATTCATATATGCGTGCAGCGCAATACATATGCAGTGATCTATGCGGTGAGATCCAATGGCGCACAGCAACGCAAATGAGGACTTGTTCGTTCCGTTACATGGGGAGTTCTGCTCAATACGTCTGGACATGTTTGCAGATCGGGTGACATTTTATTGGCCAATCCCTCAGCTTGGTCAATTGTGTATACAAAATAAAATGTATCATTTTGGTATACTTGATTTATCGGAGGCGTGTATGCTCTGTAATTAATTTTGGAATGTTACACAGCACAAAGCACAAATGAGAATGACCTTTCGTAGCGGCCTAGAATACATGCTGGAATCTGAACCAATCAGAGTGCTCGCATGGAATTCGCCAGCGATTCAAAATACTCCCATATGTTGTGTACAAAGTAGAAAACGTTTTTGTCAAGTCGGTTGTTAAACATCAATAGTCAGGATCATATATTTGATCTGGGAACCAGACCAAATATGACATTTTGCTTGCGCAGAACCAGTAACCGATAACGTACGTACGTGAACAATAACCGACTTGGCACCAAGTCTATTGATGGCGATGAAGTAAACAAAGAATCTCGCCAACTAAAATAAGTATTAAAAGACTTCAATAAATTTGAGCTACATAATAAGTTTTAATTACATAACAAGAAATACATACTAATCATGTAGATAACAAAAGTATGAAATATTTAAATGAAACTTAAAAACGCGAAACACTTTAATATTAAAATGGAAAAAGTGACGGAATTGTTCATTTGATGATAAAAGCAGGGTATTTGGCACAAAGTCAGCGTATGTCTTGAGAAAGATATTTGGCTTTAGGGCCATTGCAGTTTTTTCCTTTGAAACAAAATATAGGTATAATAACAATACAATGACAGCCATTTTGAAAAGTTAAATATTACTATTCTTACTACCTAAGGTTTTTTAAATGACAAATCTGCGATGGCCCTATAGCCAAATATCTGCAGTTACAATCAAAAAGGTGAGCTTTGGGTGACAAAATGGGTCGAACATAATCAGGCGTCGGACACAATGGGTTGGGCATAATCGGTCATTGCTCGTCAAAATCTGTTGTCGGACGTAATCGACCAGACGGACATAATGGTCGTGAACACACGTGAAAGTTCACTCCATTGCGGTGTCGTTTGGGAAAAAATCACTCGGCCATCGGTGTGGAATCACAAATATGCCCTTAGCTCCATCCCTAGGGAACTTCACAAGATGCGTTTCGCGCATAACCAGTTGTACTCAACCTCGTCCCCAGTGCTTACTTTATTTCCAACCGCGTTTCCAATAGTAAACCCTGGATAGGAAACTTTCTTCCTGTATCCTGATTGGATACCGCAATTGGCTAGTAATGGATTTTTATCGTGTACTTGGTGCTATATATTCACAACGTGCAGTACGTGTTTTCGCGATCATTCGTCCACGCCTTCTCGAAAATACTAATTTCCTTTCCAATTTGCTCATATTAATATGAAATATGATACTGCATGTTGTGATGTTTCAAGTGTATAACTTAGAGGTTTTGTTGGACTGATCGAGACAGACAAACTGTACTATTGTGGTGCCATGCAAGCATGCTTTATTTGACCTTTCAGTGACCTTATCTATGGAGCGCCTAGTAGCACAGAATAACACAAGTGATCTCGCATGTGATGGAATGCCTAGGATACAAATGAATGGCTATGGATACTACATCACTCCCTTTTTTTGGAACATGAAAACAATCAGGAATGCCAAAGTTGTTTGTTTTTGGTAAGCGCTGTGTGCTCGTTCAAACAAAGGAGGTTTAGGTCAAAACAGTGAAAACACATTATAAGAGATCAAAACAGTTACATGAAGTTTACGCAGTTATATAAAGTGCAAACGGTTACATGTTCATAAAAATCAAAACGGTTACATGTTAAAATCAAAACGGTTACATGTATATACAAGTTCAAACTGTCATGATTGAAACCAAGTGTTCTCTGGTGTTGGTAGTTTGAGTGGCCAAGTTATTTCACAGTATAGTCTTTGAAACGCGCTGGTGGGTGGCGTGCTCGAGGTGGGTTTCTGCGTGGTGCTTGATTGGGTGTTTGGGTAGGTGTATCAGACAGGTCATCCAGGTCAGACTCATCTGAGTCATGTGATGGTTGAGGTTGATCATTGATGCGCTTGAAGCGAGAAATGTTGCGAGTCACTCTGTGAGACCCGCGTCGAGCAGTGATCATGGATCCTCGCGTGTCGGTGACGATGTAGGGTTGAAGGTGATATGGTGTTTGGTCCTTTGCAACCATACCATCGCGGCGGATGAGAACTGTGTCACCCACAGTGATGTTTTTGTGTTTGGCGTGTTCACGCTTGTCTGCGTATGCCTTCATGGCAGCCTTTCGACGTTTGTCTTTGCGTTTGGCGTTGGGATTGGGAGTCGTGCGTGTAGTCTCCGGAAGGCGAGTGCGCATTGGCCTACCGAAGAGAAGTGTTGCAGGAGGGGTGCCTGTGGTCGCGTGTGGGGTTGCGCGGTAGTTTCGAAGGAGCTGGAAGAGGGTTTGCTTCCACGGCTTGTGGTCAGCAATGGCGGTGCGATAGGTTTTCTTTAGAGTTTGCATAAACCGCTCGACCTCTCCATTTGCGCGTGGCCAACGTGGCGTGACTTTGCGGTGCTTGAAGCCAAGGTAGTCTGCAAAATTGGAGAACTCTCCACTGTTGAATGGTGGGCCATTGTCCGTGCGTACGACTTGTGGCACACCGAACGTTGCGAATATGCGATCGAGTTTCGGGATGACTGCGCGTGCTGATGTAGATGAGACGATTTCAATCTCTGGAAACCTGCTGTAGTCATCAATGACGACTAGGATGTGCTCACCAGAAGGGAGGTCACAGAAGTCAACACTGACCTCAAGCCATGGACCGTTGGGGAGCGGCGACATTTGCAGTGGAGCGCGTGTAGTGTCCACCGTCGAGGCTTGGCACGGCAGGCAGTCGCGGATGGTTTGGTCAACCAGACGATCAATGCCAGGAAACCATATTTTCTCACGCAGCAGTTGTTTGGTTTTGGTTATTCCCTGGTGTCCCTCATGGGCGATGTTGACGACTGTTTGCTGGAGAGTTCGGGGAACGACAATACGGTGTCCGCGGAGTAGGAGATCGCGATTTGCGGTTGTGGTAAGCTCAGCACGTATCTTGTGTAAGCTTCGCACTGTGTCACTGGCCTGCTGATTGTGTGGTTGGGTGAGAAGTCTGTCCCAACTACCAGTGACCAATGCGTTGATGCAGTTCTGGAGAACTGGATCTTGTTGTGTTGCGGTTTGGAGTTCTTCCAGCGTAACAGTTTTGGGCACAGCGTTCTCAGCGATGAAGTTGAGATGTTCTTCCGCGATCTTTTGTTCTCTGCTTGGAGCTCGCGTGTGGGGCTGGGGGTGACGTGACATGTAGTCAGCAGGGTTTAGCTTACCCGGCTGGTATTCAACAGTGTAGTTGTACTCCTGGAGCTTCAGTATCCAGCGTTCGATGCGAGCTGGAGCTTGATTGTTCGGACTGTTGAATAGCGTGACCAGCGGTTTGTGGTCTGTGACGATGGTGAAATCGCCCCCGTATACATAGAGGTGAAAATGAAGAACTGCCCATGTTATGGCCAGCGCTTCTCGCTCGGTTTGCGAGTACCGTTGCTCAACGGGTGTTAGTGACCGACTCGCGAGTGCGACAACTGAGAGTTCGTCGTTGGCGTTGCGTTGTGCAAGAATGCCAGCGAGACCGACTGGACTGGCATCCACTACGATCTCCGTCTTCTTGGTTGGGTCGTAGTACGCCATGGTGCAGCACTGCGAAACGCGTTCTTGGGCTTGCTTGAGAGCCTGCTGCTGTTCAGGACCCCATGACCAAGGGACTGAGTCTTTGGTCAGTTCGCGTAGGGGTGCGGAGATGGTAGCTAGGTCGGGGATGAAACGACTGCAGTAAGTGACTAGTCCAAGGAAGCTGCGGACTTCACTGGCGTTTTGGGGCTCAGACACATCTTGGATAGCCTGAACCTTTTTTGGATCAGGTGAGACCCCGTCACGGCTGAAGATGTGTCCGAAGTATTCAACTCGGCTCTTGCTGAATCGGCACTTGTCTTTGTTCAGCGTGAGGTTTCTTTCGCGGAGACGGTTAAGACAGGCTTTGAGTCGCGTGTCATGCTCTTGTTGAGTGCTGCCGAACACGAGGATATCATCACTGATATTGAGGACTCCCTCAAGCCCCTGCAGTGTAGCGTTGATGATATTCTGGAACACTTCAGCAGCTGAACAAACGCCAAAGTTCAAGCGCTTGTAGCGGTACAGTCCTGCGTGTGTTGAGAAGACTGTAAGATGACGCGACTCTGGGGACAACTCCACCTGGTGGTAGCCTGCGTTAAGATCAAGCTTACTAAACACCGTGGAGCCGTTGACGTCCGCGATGATGTCATCGATGGTGGGGGTTACGTGTCGTTCGCGCTTGATGGCTTTATTGACATTACGCATGTCGACGCACATGCGTATCTCCCCGGGCCGTTTGGGTTTCTCGACTACATGGATTGGCGAGACCCATGGAGTGGGCTCGTCACGCACTGGTTCGATGATGTCCAAGGCAAGTAGCTTGCGTAACTCGGCTTCGACTTTTTTCCGCACTTGGAACGGTATGCGGCGATGAGGTAGAGCGATGGGCTGGACGGACTTGTCCTCATGGAGTATGCACTGAAAGTCTTTGAGCTTACCGATGCCGATGAAACGATCGGAGTAGTGCTCAAGCAACTGATGTATCTGCGGCGAGTCATCCGGTTGGATGTTGTACGCGACATGGATGATGCCAAGTTCTGATGCGGTGGTGAAACTGATAAGCGTGTCCCCCTGCTGCTTTGTCACGTAAAATGTCGACTTGATATCGGAAGACTTGTAGGCAACAGTTGCCTCGAATGTGCCTACAATCTCGAGGGGAGTAGTACTGCCATACGCGAAGATTTTCGTGTTTGTATGTCTCTGCAGTTTCGGAACAGACTGAAGAGTGCCGTAGGTTACAGCTGACATGACACTGACAGACGCACCGGTGTCAATGATCGCTTTGATAGGCGTCTTGTTGATGCGGACCGTGACAACAGGTTGCTTGGATCGGTGTGGTGCTTTCACACCGAAAACGTACTCATCTTCGGAGCTGGACTCAGCGTCGTGATCAACGGCATGTACTTTGGCTTTGCCGGGTCGTGGTTTGTCTCGTGTGCCACCGCGACTCAGGCAGTGTTTTGCGAAATGGTTCAGTTTTCCGCAGGTATGACACGTGACACCCTTGGCAGGACACTGTGTCTTGTGTGGGAATGTTCCACCGCAATTGCGACATGGCACGCTGTGTCGGGGTTTGGCCATGTGCGCAGATTTGCCCAATTGCTGACTCGAGCTTGACCGGTACTTGGAGCTGTGTACCTTGTGCACTGTCTCTGTACTGGGACTTGGATGTTTTTCCATGCTTTTTGCCTGCGTATCCGAAAGTTCGTAGGCACGTGCGGTTGTAAGCAGCTTCGTGAGAGTGAGATCTGCTTCACGCAGGGCGTAACGACGCAGCTTGGACGAAGAACAACCACGGATGATTTGCGACTTGACCTCGGAGTCCAGGTCATGGAACTCGCATTTTTGTGCCAGCTGTTGGAGCCTGGTGTTTAAATCACCAACTGTTTCAGTCGGAGATTGTTTCGCTTCTCTGAACACGAATCTCTCATATTCAATATTGCGTCGTGGGGAGAAGTACTTGTCAAGCTGCTCTTTAGCTGTCTTGTAATCTGACCCAGTATCAGCTAGTGTCTCGAAAATGTCCATGACTTCCTGGCCTGCATAGTGCAGTAGGAGTGCCCGCTGTTGTTTATCATCAACAATGTTGAAAGCTACAAAGAGGTTTTCCAGTCTCTTTACATACTTCTGCCATCGCAAGCCAACAGTAGATGGCTCGGTGTGTGGTTGAAAGTTCGGAAAAGATGGCAGATTAGGGCAGTTAGATGCAGCCATGGTGATTAGTGCACTGCTTTTGACGGTACAGTACAGCGTTTATACGACGCACACGGTCGTGTAACAGTGCATGTGATGCATACAGTACACACGTACGAGATTGTTCAACAGACGATCTTCCGAAAACTTACTCAGTTTTGAGACCGGAATTTCAGCCAACAAACGACGACAAACTGACAACAACTGACGACAGAATCAATGCTGGGTTCCTCAGCAACGAAAAGATCCCATCCTCGTCGCCAATTGTGATGTTTCAAGTGTATAACTTAGAGGTTTTGTTGGACTGATCGAGACAGACAAACTGTACTATTGTGGTGCCATGCAAGCATGCTTTATTTGACCTTTCAGTGACCTTATCTATGGAGCGCCTAGTAGCACAGAATAACACAAGTGATCTCGCATGTGATGGAATGCCTAGGATACAAATGAATGGCTATGGATACTACACATGTTGTCTCGATAAGATCGTAACAGTTTGATTTCAAAAATCGTGTTTTCGTAACTCACGCCGTGCTCGCGCTGCTACGAATTGACTCTGTTTTTACCCCAGACACCGCATACAAAAACAAACGCTAATGTGTAACGCATATCCAGACACCAGACTGTTCCTCATTTGCATACGTGTGCAAAAATCTTGCACATGCAAATGATCCAATACCAGGGTGAGAGAGCAGGTAGTGATGGGCGCATACTGTTCGACACCCTGGGTACGAGGTTGCAGTTGTACTGGTTGTCACATTTTCGGCCTGCGGTTGGTACAAAAAGTTGTACTTCTCCCCCTTAAGATGTGGCACACACCTGACCCGTTGCCGTTGAGTGTGAGTACACGCTTCATCCACCTTCATAGTTGGCTGCATATGGGCGGTTTTTGGTGTCGCACAGGAAGTAACAGGTAGGGAATTTTGGGGCGGCACAGGTGGTACAGGGATTAATATGTTAAGTATACTAACCGATGAAAAATAAATTATAAAACTGTCCAATGTTTTATTTATATTTTTTTTTATATTTTGTATATGTCTGCAGCTAAAACTCCTTCCCCAAGAGTAGGCATTGCATTGTTAGCTGTCGTCATAGGGGGCGCTGTTTTAGTTTGCTTCGTCTGTGTTTGCCGGTAAGTTTCTGGACTTGCGATCAGTTTCCATGCAAGATTTACACTTTTTTGTTTGTTTTTGTTCGCAGAAATAACGGAGCAATTACTCTTGCGAGTCTGTCTGAACTACTCGGCAGTGGCCGCAAATAACTAACAAGTGCTAGCTTTTTCAAGCCATAGCCATAAATTTCATACGCAGTCCAAGTTAATTAAAACATAAATACGTATTGTTGTGAACGTCAAAATATATTTACAAGAGTCTCCTAGAATGCAAGTCAGGTTTGGCCGTGTCGTGGCCTGGGCGGGGCTGGTCACTGGGTCAGACTTAATCACAAAGGTCATGCCGTGTTCATACGTGACTGGTTTATTATATAGGGCCATGTCACACTTCTGCGTATCCTAATTCCTTATGAGTTGCGCATTGACTATTTTTCATACGCAGTCGTACGCACAATACGCACCTCATATGCATCTCTATCGTTTTATGTAAGTTTTATGTACGCAGGCATACGCATGGTACGGCCCAGTACGCTGGATAGTTTTGGGCATGCACAAAACTACGCTGCGTACGCTGTTACGCAGGTCATAAGTTATAAATACGCAGCGCATCGGTCCCGCATCGGTCGAGCGCGGTACGAGTACGCTATGTGTTCGTGAGGGATAATAAGCCGTTCATACGCGGCAATACGCTGACCTCCTATATTGGACGTATACATAGCGACGTATTGCGCGAATTAGTACCGCTCGTCCTGCGAGCGGGCAGCGCATTGTACTTATTCGTAACTCTTGAGAAACGCACAGATGGCGAACTTGCGCACTGCATACGCAACTCATACGCATCTCATACGCAGTGGATGCGCTGAATTCGTTACTTGTTCGCTAGATGTGTGTCGCACACATGTCAAAGTAATCAACAAATTTCGACGTTTTTGATCGTACGGCTGCGTATTGAAAATTGTTGATAAGGAACTCATAAGGAATTGGAATACGCAAAAGTGTGACAGGGGCTTTAAAGCCCCTGTCACACCTTATGCAAGTACGCTATGTATACGTCCAATTATAGGCGGCTCATATGCTGACGGGGTGCGTGCCGGGAGGTCAGCGTATTACTGCGTATGAATCGATTATCCCCTACGAACACATAGCGTACTCGTACCGTGCTCGACAGATCCGGGACCGATGCGCTGCGTATTTATAACTTATGATCTGCGTAACAGCGTACGCAGCGTAGTTTTGTGCATGCCCAAAACTATCCGGCGTACTTGGCCGTACCATGCGTATGCCTGCGTACATAAAACTTACACAAAACGATACAGATGCATATGAGGTGCGTATTGTGCGTACGACTGCGTATGAACAAAATTTCCATGCGCAACTCATAAGGAATTGGGATAAGCAGAGGTGTGACAGGGCCCTAACTGCAAGACTCGTTGTCCACCCGGTGGAGTGAGAGCATCGGACGGTGTCATGCCAAAAACCGTCCGGTGCCAAATAGTGTCCGCTGAGCATGCGCAGTGGGCGCCAGACACTATTTGGCATGAATACATGCCAAATGGTGTCCGGTGCCAAATAGTGTCCGGACGCCGTCGATCGACCGATCACTAAAGGCTATTAGGGCGCACTGACACCACAAGTATGGTATGGTCAGAGCGTACTCGTCCTGCCGGACAGTTTTGCAGGACTAATCGGACAGTTTTTGGCAGGGGAATCGGACAGTATTTGGCAGGAAAAATCGGACAGTATTTTGCAGGAAAAAATCGGACAATATGTGGTAGGGATGGATAGAGGGAATCGGACAGTATTTGGCAGGGGGATCGAATCGGACAGTAGTTGGCAGGGGGATCGAATCGGACAGTATTTGGCAGGAAAAATCGGACGTTACTTGGCAGGAAAATTCGGACAGTATTTTGCAGGAAAAATCGGACAATATTTGGCATGGGAATCGGACAGTATTTGGCAGGAAAATCGGACACGATTTGGCAGGAAAAATGGGACAGTATTTGGCAGGGGGAATCGGACAATAATTGGCCAACCCAGAGGTGTGAGAGCTCACCTGGACCGTGGTCACGCGTGACTAGTTCATTTTGTAACCCCCTTGTGCAGGTCACAACAGTATAGGGCCCCAGTAAAACAAGCTCATGAAGACATCGCGGATGAGAACATAATTCAAGTCCGTAAGAAGAAGGATGTGAACATAATAACGAGCTTTTCAACTCAAGTCCCCCAAAAGGTACCTTTGAATTGACTTGATTCAATAATGGGACTGGAAACGAACTTTCAAACTCGATATGTATATACATGTAAAGTCTTAGGTAATATTTGTGGGATGGAAATTTACCTGGAACCAGCAAACAGCAGATTTTTTTTGCCACAGGCTACTTGAAATGCTGCGCACTGACATCATGGCCCTTCAAAAATCCATACAGCCCTTTGCCATCAACCCCCCCCTCCCCCCTTAAAAAAATATGACACAGACAACAACAATAGGTGGCGCTTTTCATGGCGGTGCTCGTGAACGAAGGGCGCCCGTACATGGGTACATTTTCTGTCTAATTTTAACCCCGACTCCCCAATTAATCAACAGCCATTACAAAACTTTCTATTAGGGTGGTTGCTTTGTTGAAGTCCAAGACTTTTCAGGGGGGTTGGGGTGTTGGATGAGGCATTGCAGTCTATGCAAAATAGTACTAGGCTTCAAACAATGAATTAAGATACCCAATATTGAGTGATGACGTTATTCAGTGATTGAATTTGGGAATTTTTACCCATTATGTTAAAAGTTAACATTGGTTTAGTCTGGGGCGAGATTGGTTAGTCCCCTCAGGTCCACCCTTGTAATGCGTTGTGCAAACTCCAACACACTTAAAATTTACAATTGTATGTTTTTGCTTCAACTGTGATTTCTAGCGTGTGGCGCGGGTCCAACCCCCCTCCAACATAGCCAGCAAATGAATTGGAGCCGTCTGGCATCAGAAATTCAGTAATGAAAGAAGAGTAAGAAAATACTAAAGATTGTGGTTGGGACCAAACAACCACAGAGCTGTTTCCAAAATATTTTTGATTGTCTATTGCATAGAATAAAATCAAATTGTTAATAAACGTTAACCACAAATATTCATACCGTCTTAACATAAGAACATTAAACTGGACATTAATAATAATGCAATAATGACTGTTGCTTCATGTTAATATACGATATCAACCCCATCAGATTTATAATTCATAAGATATGATACATTGGGTTTAATATAAACATTCCGGTAACACCAGAGGTAAGGGTCACATGACTTTAACATAACAATATTCATCTAAAACATTTCCCTGTCTATATACCTATCAAGTTTGAGATCAATCGGTGAATAAGACGGTAAAGATTGCCTCATTTACATATTAATGACATATTAATAACATGAGAGCAATAAGATGCAAAGTAATAATTATGCTAACATATTTATCATTGTTGTTTCATGCTAATATAAGGTATCAAACCCATCTGATATACACAGAAAACAGAAAGTGAGTAATTTGACTCAATATCGTCAAAAATGAGTCATTTTGTCCGTATAGTGACGCACTTTGGCTCAAGGTTTGACTCATTTATTACGATAATGAGTCAAATTACTCACTTTGTGTTTTCTGTGTATATATGTGTTCTTGATTGTCTATTGGACAGTTCAAAATGATTCATGATTTTTTTCCCAAAAAAATGTAATTACATGTATAGGTTTTCCCGGACAATTTTGGAAAATGTGCATTTGAATGTGTAAAACATCATTCAATTTGGCGCTGATTTTCAGAATTAGCGTATATCCAGGGTTAAATATCACAATAACTAGCATTTGATTTCATTTTGCATCATTCAAATAAATGAATGAATGTGCACAACGTTTAATTTAAAGTATTACACATA